AGTGGCAATCATGGAGAGTTGGGCTCAGTTTTCTGTGTATCTCCATGACAATTTCAGGCAAGAGTTTTACAGAAAGATTCTTCTTTTTTTGTAAACATCTATCAGATACACTCAATACACAAAGCCAAACCAAATGAAGGGGACATTTCCTCCAGCTCTATTATTATTTATGGATAAAATTTTAGTCCTTCTTCAGTCAGTGCTTGTGGTACTTTAAAGCCTATAAAAGAAATCTCTAAAAATTGATTAAGAGTCTAATTAAAGATTGATCCTATCAAAATATGTAGTCTGTAATTTTTGTTAAATTAAATCTTTAACTCTTGTACTCTATAGGAAATAAAAGGGAAAGGGCCACAGCAGTTCCTATCAATAAAAGTTTAGTACAACTGTGAGCACAAAAGAAATGTTGAAGTAATACAGTTGGATTGAAAACATGTGGCAGTTTATAAATATGCCAGAAGTTCAGATGACTTTAGTTGTGAGTGAACTCTAATTTACAGCTTTCCCCACTACAGAAAGTAAGTTCCACAATAATAAACAAGTCTGAGTAAAAACAGTCAGACTAAATGAGTAACTTCCTGCTACTCTTTCTTTTCTTGTACGTTTGGGTTGGGACGTTGGCTTGTTGTTATCAAAGTCCACTGAACACTATGGGAAGAATTGGTGAGCACTTAGCCAGGCTCTGGGTCCTGTCCCTCTCTCTAAAATTAAATAGCTCTTTCCAAAAAGTAATAATTAAAATAAAAAATTCACCTCCAAGGTACCTCTCTTTTTTTCACACATACATTAGGAACATGCAGAAGGATAAAAATTAACCTCAAGATCTTAGGAGAAGGAAATTTCATTAGACATCTGAAAGATCTGAAATCTCATGATTGCTTGTCCCTCAGAAAGTTATCATACAGGAGAGGAAGTAAAACATAAACACAATTTCAACTAAGTAGAATGATAGATAGACCATGATAGAACACGACTTCTTATTTTATTTAACAAGGTTTTTGTCCAATAATAAATACTATAGACATTGATCATAGAACAAAAATATCAAAGAATTGGATTGTTATATAAAATTTTATGCATGTCAGTGACTAAGAAAATTCTGCCATCATCTTGAGGTTGCTTGACTCATTAATGAAACATGGAAAGAAAAACTTAGGGGATCACAATATTCTTTATTCAGTCTGTTGACTTGAAAACAACTTAGAGGTTGTCATGCTGTCTAAAAAGCAATAACCATATTCTAAAGAGGGTAAAAAACACAGTTAGATTTCCAGGGGTTTCCATTAACAGCATCCATGCATTCATCCAAGCCAGGAAATGACTTTATTCTCAAAGAAAAAATAAGTGAGAGGTGGGGGATTATATTAAAAAAAAAAAAAATAGATAGCTGATTTGTTTTTTAAAAATCTGCTCCAAAATGGACTTTTAAATGTTCAGCAGCACCAGAAAAGGAGACACTTGACAGTTCAGTTGTTTTACACTTGCTTCCTTCAAATACTTGAAAAAAAATCAGGTCTCTATCAGTACTTTTAAGTATTACCCGAAAGCCCTTCGAGGCAAAGTTGCCATACCAAATATTTCTGTAAAAAGTAAAATGTTCAAACCAGTCTCAGTATTTTAAGAGGTTGTATATGAAAATGTAGGTTATTGAAATACTTGGGCCAAACTTTTTGTTAAAAGCAAAAATTGTTATTTTTAGGCTGATTAAATAAATTATTTAGTCACACTGCATTGATATTGTTTAAAAAATAAAATTAAAAAAAAAGCAGGCAAATAAATCACACCTGATATTTTTGTAATTAAGGGTAATTACTGATTTAATTTTAAATATTTCATTAAAAAATCACACAGCTTCAATCACTGCTCAGTTTAGGCATCAAGAATTACTTGAAATGAATTAACACACTATCAAGCAGCAATTTATGAATGACATAATGCTAAGGACATTCTTACACCAACCTTTACTTCACTCTTTCTGATTGAAATATGTCTCACAAGACTTTCAGGATAAGATCAGTCCTAAAAGTGGCATTTCAGATCCGTTTAGAATATATTTTAAAATCAATTTAGTAGGATATTTCAGACTTCATAGAGAGCAGTGGGAGGATGATGTAACCTCTAAACTTCCACAGGCTAAATCAATGGCAGGGATCTGGCTAGGAAAAGCAATTTTGCCTTAGCAAAAATGTCACCTTGTGGCAACAGAGCTGTTTTAGAAGACCACAGACTTTTAAAACAGTTGTGAATTGCTAACGCTTTTTTTTGGCGGTGGGGAGAAGAAACAAAATAAAAATAAAAAAGGGAGAAGAGGAAGAAAAGGAAGAAGAAGAAAAATAAAAGATGAAAAAAATGGATGAAAAAAAGGACCTTCCTAAGGAACAAAACTCTGAGAAAATAAACTGCTTGGGATTAAAGCTATATTTCTACAGATGCTGCTATCTTTGTTTCACTGTCTCTAGTTTCTCTATGCTCATTTGGCTCTCTGGCCTGAGAGCTAGGGCATTCCCCTGAAGAACATGCAGACTGTAGTCCTCATGTGCTCTTATTTATTTACTAGATGTGGATCCCCATCAAAAGCTGTAATAGAGCATTGCAGTGCTGCAGCCCAGAAAGGCCTCTGACCTGAGTCAGAGCATTCTCCTTGAGGAGGATTGATATGAACCCATTGCTCCCACATCAGAGAGAAGCCATCTCTTTACTGCACAGACTGCCAGGGAAAGGCTGAGGAGAACATCCTTGCTGGTCCGAAGGAAAATTGACCTTGTTACATGAAACAAGCAGCTTTTACTGTGAGGAGGTAAAAAACCAGCCCTACCAGGAAAAGAAAAACAGCTCTACCAGGAAAAAAAAATTAATTGCAGCTTGGTTTAGGTTTCTTGTTTGTTTTGGTGTTAGACATTTGCTGTGTTTTTTCTCCCCCACTAATTTCCTGTCAGGATTGGCAGCCAATGACTCACCTGCATTCACAGATGAGTATCACCAGAATATCAGTCTACAGCTCCTCTTCTCCATCTTTTGCTTTAATCACACAAAGCAACCCCCACACTGACCCCATGAGTGCAGCAATATTCAAAGCACTAGACAAAAGTAAGGCCCAAGGCCGGGTAGCTTCCCCTCATGTCTGCAGATACTGCCATAATAGAAGTTCTGAAATCAGATACTCTGAGTACCCAGTCTTCTTGGGTGACTCCCAGAGTTCAAGGTATAACAATAGTAAGAAGCCCTGAAGAAAATTATGTCCAGTCTCTCCAAAATGGCAGCAACATGATGATTAGGACAGTTTATGAAAGTCCATCTCTGGAGAGCCAAACTGGCAAGTTCATTGGGTCTGCCAATAGCTTCTCACACCTGGGGAGAAAGCCCCAGTAGTTCATTTTCTGATAAGTAATGTTGAAACTATTTCCTGCATACTACAGAATATGCATGGATTCAATGGATAGATATAAATTAGAGAAGGAAACTATGGTGCCTAGGTTAGATTTTTAATCTCAAAATCTGAGAGTTATCTCAGGCAACCTTGTGATTCCAACAGGCATTGCAAGGACCATGTAAACATGTATTACATGTGTTACTAGAAACTGAGGATGGGTTTTCCTGCAGCTGGTTTCCTATGTATCAAGTTATGGTGAATGCCTAAAATCCTTAATGTTTGTCATCAGAAATTACCATGCAAACACCAGTCTGACTGACAACTTATCTGGTCAGCAAATCAAAAGTAAATGAGAAAAAGGGAAAATGAGTGACCCAACGAAGTACCAACAATTTGTCACTTGGGATGTTTTATTAGGCAGTTTGACAAATTTCCTGCTGGTTAACTGATTAAATTTACATTTCTCTATTTTTAATCTTCAATTTATTTCATACTCAGATATGATTGTTAGCCATTAATCAATAAGGTTTAAAGTGTTCATGATTAATGGCTATGCTTTCAGTATAAATAAGAGATTCTGTGATGCTGGGATTTATCTGGCTCTAGAGACTGCAGGATTGCTCCGAGTGCTCATTCCTTAGTTACAATGAAGCGGGACTGGGAGGATTGATGAGATTCTGTACCAGTGCTGTGCTAAAATGAAATGGGAGCAGCTAGTAAGGATCTGTGCAAGATAATTATGAAAAAGAAGCCAAAGGGTTAACAAGACTATGCTTCTGATATAAGTAATGTCAGAGAGATTAATGAGTCTCCGTGCCATAGATAAGTAGGGATTTACAGCATCTATACGGTAAAAAGAAACCAGGCGGATTAATGAAATGACCACCCACGGCTGTGCTGGGTCTGTGAAGGTGCAAGGAGAGCCTCTCTCTCTATGGGAGAGCCGAGCCGCGGGCAAAGGGTTAACGGGAGCCTGGAGCGGCGGGGCAGGGACCGGAGGAGGTACCGGGGCTGGGATCTCCAGCCCGGGGCAGCAGCAGCGAAAGGGTTAACGAAACGCTTCCATGCATTGAGATGCTAATTGTCAAGATAGTGTATTACTTGGGGAAAGTAATTTGATTACTCGAAACTCCCACTAAGGAGGCAAGCTTGCGTCCTTCCATCTGTCGGGCTCTGTGAGAGATGATGAATTGAGCTCCAAATTCACGTGTGATGAAGTCACTGTCATTCCCCGCCAGCCCAGCCCGCTGCCATGCCCACCGCGCAGAGGGTAGCACAGCATTTCAACTTTCCCTCGGAAACCTAGGAGGCACAGTAACCTGTTACTTGCTGCCGCTTGCTTTTTTTTTTTTTTTTTTTTCTTTCTTTCCCTCCCCATTTTCTGCCTCAGCGCTACAACTGAGTCATTCTGGTGCCCATGGCTCGTGGGTATACAGGGCTCCCACCGCGCGCGGCTTTATTCCCCACTTCAGCTGTCAGTGTTATTTTCGGCTAATGCAGATGTGGGGTTCGCTTGCCGGCGCTTTGTAGCCACTTGTCGAGAACCATTCGGAAAGCCTTAACTATGCATAAATCTGCAGAGTGAATGTTTGCTTTCATTCACTTGCTCCTATTATTTGATTTCTTGTAGGCCTCTGCAGCAGAAATGGAGAAAATAAGGTAAGTGAGACAGTTTATTTACATCTCATTATAGCGAAGAAATGTTCTGTTGCACAATGCACGATACAGGCTTTTGGAAAATATTTTGCTTAATATGATCAGAGTAAAATACTGGATTGCATGATGATGCAAGGCAAGCTGTGCTTTAGAGACAAAAGGAATGTGGTTGTTCTAGTAAATCTGTTTCGCAGGGATGTCAATTCAGAAAGGATGTTTTACTCACAAACATGTTTTATTGCCAGCTGCAGAGCATATTGGATTATATAAATGTTGTAGCCACTTGTCCATTTACTGCAAGAGCTTGCCATTCTATTTAAGGAGGAAAGTGGATCAATAATTCATGAAAAAGCTGAAGAAAATATAGGCTTGACTTCAAAGCATCTAATTACTGTGGTTTGTTTCAATATAGCACTGTAACACTGGTGTTCGATTTTTGTTTTATACTGTATACCAGCCAGATAAATCTTGTCTCCTCTGTGTTTAAAATGTTGTCATACTGTACCAGTTTCTCTGCACATCTCTCTGCTTTAAGCAAAAGGAGATGGGTTTTATAACATAAGTTTTCCATCTCATGTCCTAGTGCAAGTCTGCTTTGGGGGATATTGCTTTTGTGTATGTTGTTGAGAAAGAAAAAGAAAGAAGAAAGCATTCTAGCCCTTTTTAATAAATAAATTAAAAATTAGTAAAATCTCATCTATTAACACATTATCAAATTGCTAGGTAAGAGCTGAACTTTTTACTACCCTTTCAATACTTTATGGAACTTATTTTCTTAACCAAAACCACTGGCTATGATCTTATTTGATTTTATTGAGCAAACACAAATTCCTTCTCTGAACCTGGTAACTCTCTGGTTAGTGTCAACTGTTGTCCAAGAAAAACTTTTTAGATTCCTTCAGTTTGGAATGGCTGTCCTGAGCTATTAGAAATGCAGAAAAGTTCTAGAATTCTAGAAATACCTGGGGAAGAATTGGCAACTGCAAAAGGACAGAAGTTTGACCAAGTGTTCAATGAATTCTGGGCTGGAAACAGAATCCTGTCTTTCTTTTGAGGAAAAGGTGGTTAAGTCTCTTGCAGTGGACTTGAAGACGTCTGAAAGTTTCTAATAGAATAGATATTTTAAAGCACTTCAGACGAACATTTTTTGTAGTGTCTCATGGCAATGAAAGTACAATAACTTTTGGGCTGAAAGAAAAATACTGTGCAATGTATTATGGATTTGCATGTATATAAGCACTACAATGTTAAAGCTGTGAGTTTTTCCTGAGTAATGCCTGAAAAAGTGCCTCAGTGTATGGACCTCTGTTTAGTAAAAATTCCAAACAAGATCACCTATGCTATATGCACACTCATATCATGAATAACTCTCTTAGAAGATGCAAACAAATACATATTTATGTGTTTACCTGATAAGCACATGTGGACAAATGCAATACGATACTTGTAATACTTTCCTGAGCATACCTTGGCCTCTGCTTTTAATAGACAGGCTCTTGCCACACTTGCAATAATGGGCTGCAAAGCCCAGGAGAACAAGTGGAATGTACTGGGGGGGAAAAAAAAAAATTGCTATGACAAGAATAAACACCCATAACATTCCATTTTTCTAGTACTGTATTTTTGCAGCTGTCAGCCACACAGCAGTCCTTACCTCAGTCCTTACTCCCTGAGTACTGCATAGATGGAAAAGCTTATACTGCCCTACTGAAAGAAGTAGGAGCTTAGCTTGTAACTCTGAAAAGAGAAGGGTTAGGCTCTCTCAGGAGTTTGTTAAAGAAATTTTCTGTTAACAGTTCTTGTGTGCAGAAGTTGATTCTGACAGATATTTGTCCCCGTCACCAAAGCAGGTGGAAGGCCAGTGCAAGGGTTCCCTGTGCTCCTGGGTAGAACAGCAAGCTGGGCTGGGAGAGACCTGGCAGGACCCAGGGCAGAAGCTGCACTGCTCCATCCCAAACTTTTCCAGGCTCCCTGTCTGTAGTCATTCTCTTGGATGCAAACTGAAAGAATCCTCAGTAGTTTAAGGAAACTATCTGGAGTAATTATTTTAAATAGCTGGTGAACTCACAGCCGTGAGAGAATTAGATTTTTTTCTAAATTTACCGAAGTCTGGCACTCAGGTAAAAACAAAATTACCCTGTGTTTTAAGCACGGGTCATGAAGACAGGTAACCTAAAGCTAGGAAAAGAAAGAAAGAAAAAAGGAGAAAATGGAAGGCTGGGAGGAAAGAGGTATATTTTTGCTACATGTAGAAACCAGTGTAACATCATTGGAAAAGCCATTCCTACATGATACTTGAATTTGTTCTGCCCTATCTCCTGTGTTCAGCTCTTTCCCCACTCTGTTTTTGCTAACAGCTGTGGATATGCCATCCCATATCACCTGGGATAGTGCTGGCCCAAGGACTAGAGGGTGAGCCCACATCAGCTGTGGACCTGGGGGTGCTCAGAGGGTACAAGGCTCATGTGAAAGAGGGAGGAGAAAGGGGTTCTAGAATGAGCAAAAAGGAAACAAACCAAAGCCTTGTTACAGAAACAGGAGAAGAGGAGCAAGGTGGATAACCACAGGACAATGCAGCCAGGTTAACAAACCTCAGGGTTAGAGAAATATAGGTTTGCATTCCATAGTGCAGTTCAAGAGAAGAAAGTCTTTTAAACAGGAAGAATAGGTACATAGAATCACACTTTTCAGAGATGCTGCTGACTGTCCTTGGGAGGCCACAGAGCCAAATATTTTAAGAAGGCAGCTCTGAAAGACTTTGGGTGCTTTACACTTTCTCCAACCCAGGAGAATGGGGATGCATCTGAGACATCCCCAAGGACTGGTGGCCAGGCCCATTCAGACAGAAGGCCAAATGCAGGAGCCTGAAAAATTGATCCACTAGTGACCCATGCTTTATTCAGCCATAAAATTCACCGAGCCAGGGCAGCACAAGCAATAGTGCAGCAAACTAATACACCCCTTAGTGTGACATTCCTTCACTGAGAATCCAGCCAGAAAGATGCAATTCGTCTCACGTAACACAGTAATAATTCCCCTTGCAGACCAAGGAGCTGCTGTGACCTGCAATGTCACATGCTGTCCTTTTCAGCAGGGGCTTGCTGTGACAGCGTTATGTGTGGAAGGAGCAGTAGGAAACAGAGGTGGGAGGTTATCAGTACTTAGCCCGACAGAGGGACAACTTCCTCTAGAAATGGAAACATGCCATGTTGTGCTAAAACTTTGACTAGAAGAATCAGTTACTGCAATGAAGTCTTCTCACTGTGGATGACTCTTAGCAGTACACAGTGCTTAGGTACCAATACATTAGACACAAGTAAGGCTAACTACTAATCACAAACCTCTTGAGGATCTGCACTTATGTAGGTTGGCTGTATATGGTTATACAGTCACTTTAAGCATTAATTACTTCTAACCTTTTTAAATACTTTTTTTTGGATCTATTTCTTTTTTCA